CCCGCGCGGGGAAAGGGGGAACCCCTGCCATACCACCTGCTCTACACGCCCCCCACATAGGCACGGTTCTGCAGGAAAGTGAGGAGCCAAATTCCCCAAGACTCAATGAAGCCTTCTTTAGTTCCCTCCCTTGGCCAAGAGTAAGTATCTCTGGTGCTCGCTAGAGGGTCCGAGGAGCCCCTGTGGTTTCAAAGGGCAGAGACTCAGCTACTCAGAAGGCTGAGGCCTGGGGATAGAATGTTCTGGGCAAGTGTGAGACTCCCTCTCAAAATAAAACTTTGAAAAAAAATAAAAAGGCTTGAGGGGAGGCTGGATGTGTGCCTCAGTGACCCTCGTCTAGAATCCCCCAGTGAGGGGCTGGGGGCGTGGCTGAGTGGTAGAGCCCCTGCCTAGAATCCCCCAGAGTGCTTGTCTAGCATAGCACAAGTGAGGCCTTGGGTTCCATCCCTTGCTTTGAAACAAAAAATAAATAAATAAATAAATAAAAATGATGACAAATAATTAAAGGTCATTAAACAAGTAAAAACTTTGCTTTGACAATGACCCTGACAACGGAAGGTCATCAGTCACTGTTTGCGGACTGGTCCCTTACTCTGAAGAAGATACCTAAAAAGAAAAAGATTCCTCTAGATAGCTTCCAACACCAGTTACACAAACAAGTGATGGGGGGGTGGGTTACTTCTGGGACAATGATGGATGCTGCTGCCGGCGAATACCTTTGAGGCATGAACGGATAGAATCTAGGGTCTCTCTGAGGTTAAAAAGGTCCTTCAAGCTGAGCGAAGGACTCTCATCTTCTGTTTACTTTTTCGTTGAGACAGGGTCTCATGTGTTGGAGACTGGCCTCCTGACTCCACCTCCCAAGCCCTAGGATTACAGACCTGCGCTCTCAAGCCTGGCTGCAAGCGGTGCTGAGGATGGATGGAGCCCAGGGCCTCATGCATGTCAGGGAGGTGCTCTACCAACGAAGCTACACCCACTTTTTAATTGTCATTTTGAATCAGGATCTCATTATGTGGCCCAGGCTGCCTTGAAACTTAAGGTCTCCTGCCTCAGTCTCCTGGGTGGCTGGAACGACAGACCCGCAACAGCACACTGAACTAGAAATAACATCTATAGAATTCACACACACGCCGGGCTTTGGTGGCGCATGCCTTTAATCCCAGCACCCGGGAGGCAGAGGCAGGCGGATCTCTGTGAGTTCGAGGCCAGCCTGGTCTACGAGAGCTAGTTCCAGGACAGCCTCCAAAGCCACAGAGAAACCCTGTCTCGAAAAACCAAAAATAAATAAAATAAATAAATAAATAAATAAATAAATAAATGCACTTATTCACTGGAGTCCTTAAAGCTACCCTGGTTTCTTGGGACCCCAGTCCTACCCTGGGAGCTAGCTTTGTGACCCTGGGCATGGAACATTCATAAGATGGCGGTAGTACTATTCTCCACGTTTTTGCTGTTTCCTTTCTCTCCCCCTCCCCCTGCCTTCCCCTCTCCTTCAGCTTCCCTACTCCGGTTCTCATGTAGCCCAGGCTGGCCCCAAACTCACTATATAGCCAAGGATAACTTTGCATTCACACAGTCTTGGGTCACAGGAGTCCTCGTCCCAAATAAAAACAAAACAAGGGCTGGAGAGATGGCTCAGCGGTTAAGAGCACTGACTGCTCTTCCAGAGGACCCAGGGTTCAATTCCCAGCAACCACATGGTGGCTCACAACCACCCGTTATGAGATCTGGTGTTCTCTGCTGGCCTGCAGGGCACATGCAGACAGAAGACTGTATACATAATAAATAAATAAAATCTTAAAAAAAAACACCAAAAACAATAGTTTAAAATGGCATTAGGACATTGAATGTAATAGTAGTACTTCACAACATACACAAAAATTAACCCAAGGGCTGGTGGGGTGGTTCAGCCAGTAAAGGTGATTGCTGCCAAGCCTGATCACCTGGGAACCGAATGGCAGAAGGAGAGAACTAACTCCCTCAAACTGTTCTTCTGACCTCCATACTCATGCTACAGGCACCCCCCCCACACACACAATATAAAAAGGGTTTTATTATTATTATTATTAACCCAAATGGTCAAAGACATAAATAAACATAAAAGATTGTAAACTTATTGGAAGAAAATATAAGAACACATCTTGCTGACTGCAGGTTAGAGGGTGGTTTCTTAGCCATGACATCAAAGGCAGGAGCAAAAGCCAAAACAAACAAATTGGACTTCATCAAAATGGAAACCTTTGCACTGGGGGGCGTGGTGGCACCTTTACTCTCAACACTTGGAATTCAGTGAGTTTTGCGGCCAGCCTGCCTTACATAGTGAGACCTTGTTTCAAATAAACCCCCCCCCCC